TTGCAAAAGGAGGGACTTCTGGACGTATTGGTGAACAGTGATCGCACCCTGTCATGGCAGTTACGAGAACAATCAAATGTGGAGTAGGTCCACAAGAATGATGATGATTAGTTTACCGATTGAAGGAACTTGCGGAATTTGACAGATTTGGAAGAACGACTTGTATACAATGCTATTAGGAAAGCAGGAGAAAATGGTAAGTGGTACCTAATCCCCTCGCTTAAACGCTCTTTCCTGTAAGCTACCTCGGTGAAAGCAATCAGTATTAACACAAAGATACCGCAGAATCGAGTCCCCAGAATCCTAAAGTCACTCATTTCCAAAAAGATGATCAAAGAGCTACCCATGGCTACGGGTCAAAAACAGAAAGTTTATCTGCTCATAGAGCTTGAACCCAGCGAGAAAATAGCAGCAAACACACTTTTCGCTGGTGAATCCGGTGTTGATGGCGAGTTTGTCGCAATGCTAAGAGCTGCATGCTTGAAGTACTTGCAAGATAAAGTGAGTTCATAGCTTGACTCTGGTCACACTCAGACTAGCTCTGCATCCCACATAGCTGACCCTCTGGAAAGGCGAGATGCTTCTTACGTTTCGGTTGAAGAAATTCACCGGTTCATCAGTAACGCCAGATTGTGTACCGTAAGTAATTCAGACAAGTCAATAATTTGTCACTTCTGAAGGTGTGTTACGCACTGGATTATCGATGGTCTTCGTGATCTTTTCTATTCATGCTACTTCATTTGATGATGTGCCTAATAACCGTGTGTTGTTTAGTTCCCCGTCTCAGCCTCCAGCATATGTAAATGAAGTAAAGTAAATTATATTATTATATTTCACACTTGTCTAAGGACAAACTGTGTGCCAAGAAAATCATGGTACAATAATCTTTATAAAAAAGGAAATGTTCCATGATTGGCTTGTGGGCCGAATACTTCCTGGTTGCCCAGGCCAAGGCAAGTGAATTTTCCTGAGGAAGTCACAACCGGAGCCTTCAGCTAGCCAAAGCCGGACCCGCAACGCGTTGGGGCGGTGTGTGAGAACCGCAGCCCGTTGGGAGCCGGTGTCCAATTCATCGGATCATACGCCCTGACGATCGCAACAGCCGTTGAACAGGGAGAAGACAAAGGCCCGATACCTAGGCTTTATTCAACATACAAATGGACGACAGGGACTGAAAAGGAATGAGTGGAAAATTTAGAGAGGCGAATACAAAGTAATGTGAAACGACAAACAAAAATGTAACATAACATTCACCCCCGCGGACAGTTTTTGTCGGAATTTCTGTATGTGAAAATGTTCTTTGCTTCTCGGTTTCCCAGATTATAGAGTGAGTGAGTGCGTTGTTGTGCTTTTACTAATGGGTGTATCTCGGGTTCTGTATTGTATGGATC